GCAGGCTTTCTTCTGGCAGCTGACCATTTAAATCTAAAAGAGACAACCAGCACCACAATGAGGTGACTGAGCTGCACCTGTCTGGGGCAGGCTGAACCTCCTTCCTTTACAGCTAATATTTCAGCTCCACAGGACGTGGCACATCATCGCAGCCCCTTCAGTTCTCTCCGTAGGAGGCTGCCAGGGAGGTCAGTTCCAGTGGTGTTTGTGTGAGGAGGACGGGATGGAACCAGAGAGAGGGAGGAAGGACCAGTTATACTGATCTGCAACTGGATTCATTGCTGTAAAGCTTTTGCTTCCCTCACTTCATTGTTTTTAGAGCATGACAAAAATGCAACTAACGTACGGAGACAACTCGAGACTTGGAGTAACTCTACTGCTGTTAGTGGATTTTCACCCGGGATGCCTTTGGCTCATGATGGCTGGCTGTAGCAGTGTCCTCTGAGTCAGCAGAATTAATAGATTCATAGATTCCAAGGCCAGAAAGGACCACTGTGATCATCTATTCTGACCTCCTGTATGACACAGGCCATTGAATTAATCCCTCCAGAAAATCCAGCCCTCGGGCAACATTCCTAGACAACAACTAGAACAATTAGTCCCCTGAGATCCTTTAAGTCACATCCATAAGTCTTTGCTCTCTGAGTGTACATCACCTCGTGATTCACAGTCCCTGGGAATTCATCCAATCTCCTTCAGGCTGAGACCCGTTCTGGCACTTACCAATCTGAAAAATTGAATGTTCCACAGCCCAGTTCATCTTATGGCTGTAACCATGATAGCAACAACTGTGATAAAGCATGACTGTGGCTAGAAGGGTTCTAGCAAGATTCCCCCTTTCTCTATCTGTAAGACATCCTATAACTGAGCTACAGACAGTCCCCTCCACAGAGCAGGAGAGCAGCTGAAAACTGAGCTAGCAAAACCATGCTAGAGGGCCTACCTTCACCAGAGATGGAACCACGTTAAATGTAACCATGCTGCTGACAAGGCTGCAGCTAAAATGGTTCAGCAACATCCATGCAGCACCATTTCCCCCCACAACCTCATGTCAGCTGAGTTGGCCTCTCTGTACCTACCATGCAGCACAGCCATGCTTACATCTGTATGTTTTGGAGGAAACCTGAGTAGCTTTCCCATACTGCCGCAGCTATTACTTAGGGAGCAGCAGTGATCCAAGTTATTTCATTCACAACACTATTCCATTATTATGCATTTATACAGTTACAGAAAGGTTTTATTTTTCCCCCAGTGTATTTTGAGCTGGTGAAAGGTGCCAGACTGACACACGGCCCAGTGAATTTTAGAAGGACTTCCCACACAGAGACCTTGTTAGAACCCCTTTATAGCCTAACATTCACGGTACAGCCGGGGGCTCACAACCACACTGCTAGGAACCATATATGAAGCATGTTGTGAACGCATTCAAGTCAAGTGCAGGATCAGCCATATTACAACCTGGTTACCAACTTAGTAAATATATGTAGCGTAATCCCTCGAGTGGGAGATAGTATATAGCATGTGTTTATAACAGAGTTCTCAAGACTGCAAATAGGTTCCTTGCAGGGGATCTGTTTCAAGGTTTCAAGATGTACCATATGCCCATGGACATGTCTGAGGTTTAGCATTGTTGTGGAGGATACTTAACATTGCATCTATACTACAAACTAAAATCATGTTGTAACTAGGTCCCCTGACTCTGTGTAGATGAAGCTTTAAAACTCTGCTACAACAGTGGTGTTGAAACACGATTGTCACTTGGGTGGTTTTGACTGCAGTATGGATAGAATCTAACACAGTTTTTTCTTTCACGTGATTTGAGAAACAGCCTTAAGAAGACTCAGCACATGAACATTTATTGGCAGGTATTTGGGAGAAATATGAAAATTTAATTTGCACAGAGAAGGCTCTAAGGAGTTGTATTCAAGGTGCAGCTGCATCAAAAGCCCTTAACGAAAGGGAGCTCAGATTAGCATTGCAAGGATGTCTTTACAAATCCCACAGTATTCTGCTTGTAGCAGGGCGGACACCCGCTTGGGCCCAGAAGGGTTTAAAACAGCCCTGAGAGAGAGCTGTTGCAGCAGAAAGGCAGCGGGGCTGACTGGGGAAGCAGCCTCAGCTGGGGGCCATGTCCCAATCAGGGCTCAGCTGGCTCTATAAAGGTTGTGAGCCAGAAAACCACAGAGACTCTCTCTCTCTGCTGTGAGGGAGAAAAGGGCCTGGCTGCAGGGGCTTAACCAAGTATCTGGAGGGGAGCAGGGCTGGGGATAGGCCAAGGGAGCCGGAGAGCTCCAGCCTAGGAAAGCCCCAGGCTGCAGGCCTGCTAAGGCCTATTAGGTACGGGGCTTGCAGGGGCAGCCATGGGTAGGCAGAGGCAGCAGGTCCAAACCCAACCTTGCCTATGATTGAGTGGCTCATACTGCAGTCTGCCCCAGGGCACAGGGGCTAGCTGGTGACTGGCAGGAGCCTATGACTGAGGTGAGGTAGGGATAGTGGGTGGGGGGTTCCCCTGGGAGGGGGAGACCAGGACTGTGGGGTACTGCCAGGGGGCAGCACCTAGTGAAAGGGGCATGGGGGTCCTGGGAGGGACATGGGAGCCAGCAGCAAGGTGAGACACTGGCTTGAAGAGGGGACTCCGGAAGCTGGAATGCTAATTCCCTGAGATGACCAGCAGCAGGTGCTGCCGGTGAGTCTGTGCCCGGCTACACTGCTCCATGTATTAAGTACATTATTTCTGCACCTTTGAGCTATGACTGCAGTATGATGGAGTGGTTTGCATCATTCCTATAGAATACTGTCACTTTCTCTTGATAAGAGAATGCTGTGAGACAAATTTTACTTATGGGTGTGATCTTTGTTCCAGGCATAGCAGGATATGGGCTCTATCCCAAAACTGTACAAGGACATGTCCAAACAGACAGTGATGCAATGTGTCAACAGCTGAAAGCCAGAAAAATAGAACAAAATACAGCTGTTTGCAGGGATACTTGAAAGACCTAAACTGTTCTTGTTTTTTAATGTGAGAAATAGTACGAAAGTAAGAGAAACCTAAAAGAAACAACACTGACGCATGTTGTAGAGGGCTTGAAAAGTGACAGTGAAAGCATTAGCAGTTTAGGATGACAAAGGGCACACACACACATTATACTCCAATTCTTGGTGCATTTCGATCTGTAGGGCACAACATAAATGGCTTCAAAGGAATTAAATGAGATGAATTTTCAGCCTAAAAATTCTCAAGCAATTGCAACAAAGGTTATGTTCCTATTTATATGGAAATCAGCAGACTGAAGACTTGAAGTTCATTTCTTATTTTCTGGGTCTTTTTACATTACATGTGGCACGCATCAACCTACCTGAACTTTGAGAACTTGAGCAATGGCTTGGAAGCTTTAACCATGCACAACTAAGAAATTCAAACAGTGAATCTCAGATGATAAAGATCTTAAATTGTTTTATGAATGTTTTTTAAAAGAACAGATGCTGAATCACTAGTTACACCCTGCAGCTTTAAACAAGAAGATGCTAGCAGCAGGTAGTTTCTAGCTGTATAGCTGATATTTCTAGGGTGCCCACCACCTTGGTATTTAGGCTTCCACAAAGGGATGCTTAATTCTGAGAATTCACTCCCCCTTGATATAACAGTGCCTGGATTTGATGACCATCAGATGCGGTTGCAAAGCCTAAGTATTTTTCTGGGCTTCTCCAGTGGGACTGGACTATGGCGGTAGGTGGTGGGCCAGCTGGTTGATTGGGAGACTTCTTATTTTGGAAGGTCTTGGGAGTGCATATTGTCCTTTTTGGAACCAATTCTGGTACAATTTAGTGCTGTCCAGACTTCCCTATATCTCCGCAAATGCAGTTGCAGCATGACCCACCCTATGCCTGCTACATTGGAGATGAACCTGTTGTGGGGTGTTTTCTCCTCTCCTCCTAGACTAAGGATGAAGCTGCTCAATTCATTTCCACTGGGAACCCAATGTAGGATAAGAATACAGGTGAGGAAGACTGTAAGGGTCCAGTGGTGATGTCCTTAGCCACTGCTTACACACCTGGTATCAGATCTATAATTGGTCCTGAGCCTAGCACCCAGCCGCCTACCTCTCAGCCTGCCAAGGCCCAAATGTGGGATGCAATCTATGACAAAGTCAAAAACGGAGACAAAACAATTATATATGCAGCAAATGCATAGTGGCGTAGGAGTGCTTCCTTTGTGAGTGACTCTGCTTAGAGCCTCAGCTACAGGAGTCTAAATTTCTGATGCTAATGATTCAGATAGGGCACTGGAGAGACAGACAGCAGACCTAGACTCCATGGTCCACTGTGTGACCTGGCGGAAGTCACTTCACAGCTACTTGCCTCAGTTTACCCAGCAGTAAAGTGAGGATAACGAAACCCCCTTTGTAAACAACTTTGGTCTACATTTTAATTTAATTTGACAGATGAAAAGCTGGACATTACGGCAACAACAGTGTGAAAGGCTGCCAGCGGGGAACAACACAAGTGATGTGGGACACATGGAACTTTGGGACTAAAATGAGTGACCTCCTTTTAATCCCGGGACACAGAGGTATGTCAACCCTGAACCAAGCCCTTAGGGCCTGGACCTGGCTCAGCCCATATCCACTCCAGCCTGCCTATATGCAGCTCCAAGACTCAACTCCTGGGGCAGGTTCAGCCAACTAATGGCCCTCAGAGCCCATTCCAAGGGCCTAGTTCCCAGGGCCTATATCTAACCCCAGCTCAGCCTGCCTCTAATGTCCCATGCTCCACCCTTACTGGGCCCTCAAAACCCACATTTAGCTGGGCCCATGCCTGGTTCCCAGAGCCTGTATCTAGCCCCAGCCCAGCCTGACTTTTGGTCCCCAGTCCATGTTTGGATCTTAGAGCTTGTACCCTTGGGGCCTGTGCTTAGCCAAAGCCCTGCCTGGGACTTGGGCCCTGTGCCCAGCCCAGGATCTCAGGGGCTTGTGTCCAGCCTCAGCCCGTGCCTGGTCTTCATGCCCTGTGCCCGGCCCTTGGGGCTCACGCCCAGCCCAGCCCGGATCGGGGGCCCTGTGCCCGGCCCTTGGGGCTCACGCCCAGCCCAGCCCGGATCGGGGGCCCTGTGCCCGGCCCTTGGGGCTCACGCCCAGCCCAGCCCGGATCGGGGGCCCTGTGCCCGGCCCTTGGGGCTCACGCCTGGCCCGGCCCGGAGCGGGGGCCCTCTGCCCAGCTCGGCCTCGCCTGTGCCCGGCCCTTGGGGCTCACGCCCGGCCCGGCCCGGATCGGGGGCCCTGTGCCCGGCCCTTGGGGCTCACGCCCGGCCCGGCCCGGAGCGGGGGCCCTGTGCCCGGCCCTTGGGGCTCACGCCCGGCCCGGCCCGGAGCGGGGGCCCTGTGCCCGGCCCTTGGGGCTCACGCCCGGCCCGGCCCGGAGCGGGGGCCCTGTGCCCGGCCCTTGGGGCTCACGCCCGGCCCGGCCCGGAGCGGGGCCCTGTGCCCGGCCCTTGGGGCTCACGCCCGGCCCGGCCCGGATCGGAGCGGGGGCCCTGTGCCCGGCCCTTGGGGCTCACGCCCGGCCCGGCCCGGAGCGGGGGCCCTGTGCCCGGCCCTTGGGGCTCACGCCCGGCCCGGCCCGGAGCGGGGGCCCTGTGCCCGGCCCTTGGGGCTCACGCCCGGCCCGGCCCGGAGCGGGGGCCCTGTGCCCGGCCCTTGGGGCTCACGCCCGGCCCGGCCCGGAGCGGGGGCCCTGTGCCCGGCCCTTGGGGCTCACGCCCGGCCCGGCCCGGAGCGGGGGCCCTGTGCCCGGCCCTTGGGGCTCACGCCCGGCCCGGCCCGGAGCGGGGGCCCTGTGCCCAGCCTGGCTCGGACCTGGGGGCCTGTCCCCGGCCCCCGCCCTCAGCCCAGCACGCGCCGGGCCCCCGCGTCCCGCCCGGCTCCTGTCAGTGCCGCTGTCCCCAGCTCGCCCCGCCCCCTTCCCACGGAGCGGGCGGCAGCGCCCCGGGCGGAGGCTGGAGCTCGGGGCGGGGCGCTGCAGCCCGTAAAGGAGAGGAGGAGGCTGGGCCAGGCCGATCCTTGAGGGGTTGGTCCCTTTAAGGGGAGGGCGGGGCATAGCCCCCCGTTTAAGGGGCGGGGCTGGTTGCGGAGCTTTTTTCAAAGGGAGGCGAAGCGGGGAGGACAGAACGGGACGCCGCGGTCTCTTTAAGCGGGGGGCGAGGAATGTGTCGGCGGCTCCTTTAAGACGCTGACGGAGCGGCGCGTCCCCTTTAAGGTTGCCGGGGTGACGGCTCGCAGTGAGAGCGAGGCGCATTGACGTCAGGTTGGCAGGCGATTGGCCGAGAGAGCTGGTTTCCGGTGGGATCTGCCGCCGCCGAGACCGCCGCCGAGGCCGGAGTCCGGGTCGGGGGGAGGGGGGTGAGAGAGGCCGAGGGAACCGCCCGGACCCCGCGGTGAGTGAGGGCTCCCGGGTCCCGCCCCGCCCCGGGAGGCGGAGGCCCCAGGGAGAGGCCGCTGGCCCCACCGGGGAGGACGTCCGGAGCGGCCTGGGTCCGTGGGGAGGAGGGGGGATGCCGGGGGGAGGGAGGCTCGCGGTGCCGGGGAGGCCCCGGGGGAGGGCAGGGCACTGATGGGGGAGGGGAAGGCCCCCTGGAGGGGAAGGGGGCACTGGTGTCGGGGCGATCTAGGGGGTCGGGGGGAGGAGGGTAGAGCACGGGGGGGGGGGGAGGGGTCCGGAGTGGGGGGCAGGGCACTGGTGGTGGTGGGGCACCCGGGCGGAGGGCAGGGCACTGATGGGGAAAGGGGGCACTGGTGGCGGGGTGATCTGGGGGTCGGGGGGGGGGGGGGGGGGGGGGCAGGGCACGGTGGTGGTGGGGCACTGGGCGGAAGGCAGGGCACTGTTGGGGGAAGGGGGCACGGTGGCGGGGTGTCGGGGGTGGGGGGAGGAGGGGAGCACGGGGGGGGAGGAAGGCGGGGGGGGGGCAGGGCACGGTGGTGGTGGGGCACCTGGGCGGAAGGCAGGGCACTGATGGGGGAAGGGGGCACGGTGGGGGGTGTCTGGGGGTGGGGGGAGGAGGGTGAGCACGGGGGGGGAGGAAGGTCGGGTGGGGGGGGCAGGGCACGGTGGTGGGGGGACCGGGGGAAGGCAGGGCACTGATGGGGGAAGGGGGCACGGGGCGGGGTGATCTAGGGGGTGGGGGGAGGAGGGCGGGGGGGGGGGGGCAGGGCACTGGTGGTGGTGGGGCACCTGGGCGGAAGGCAGGGACGTTGGGGGAAGGGGGCACGGTGGCGGGGTGATCGGGGGTGGGGGGAGGAGGGTAGAGCACGGGGGGCGAGGAAGGTCCGGAGTGGGGGGGGGGGCAGGGCACTGGTGGTGGTGGGGCACCGGGCGGAGGCAGGGCACTGATGGGGGAAGGGGGCACTGGTGGCGGGGTGATCTAGGGGGTCGGGGGGAGGAGGGTAGAGCACGGGGGGGGCGAGGAAGGTCCGGAGTGGGGGGGGCAGGGCACTGGTGGTGGTGGGGCACCTGGGCGGAGGGCAGGGCACTGATGGGGGAAGGGGGCACTGGTGGCGGGGTGATCTAGGGGGTGGGGGGGGCAGAGCAGGGCACTGGTGGTGGTGGGGCACCCGGGCGGAGGGCAGGGCACTGATGGGGGAAGGGGGCACTGGTGGCGGGGTGATCTAGTGGGTCGGGGGGAGGAGGAGGGTAGAGCACGGGGGGGGGCGAGGAAGGCCCGGAGTGGCGGGGGGCAGGGCACTGGTGGTGGTGGGGCACCTGGGCGGAGGGCAGGCCCGTGGGGCTGGGAGCAGTCTAGTGGAGGTACAGCATTACGGCTTTGTCTGGGAGCCTGAGAATTGCGGGAGGTTTGCTGTGCTGGCGGGGTGTGTGTGTGTGTTTTGCGTGGGGTGGGGGAATCTTCTCCCCCCCGCCCCCGTGCACATGTGTAGAAAGAGGAGGTTTAACTTGACTGACACGCACCCTGGCCTGTGAATCCTGCCTTACCTGATCCCTGGGAGAGGGGCTTGGCAGGGTTATCCCCCAAGTTGGCATAATTTGAAAGGAGATTCCTTTATGTGCTGCACCAATCCCAGTCAATAAACCACAGATCTGCCAAGTTTTGCTTATTTGAAAGTGAGAAGGTATTATAGGAAAATGTTTAGGTTTTCAAGATTTACATTGGATCCTTCAATAAAACATTAAAAATCCATCCCCTTTCTTAAAAAGATTTTTGCAAAGGTTTTCAATGAGACACTTACAATTTCGCTTATTTCAGTCTTTCTTGTTCAGACTGCTGCTTCTCATTAATCCAAAACTAATCTCAGAATGAGGGCATCTCCCTTACAAAGGGATGAGGCTAACATTTCAGTTGCTGTCTGGGGGGATCCCTCACCCCATGTGAGGAGCTTATTTTGTGGTTTGAATATATTCTGGTTGTTCTTCACATCAGGGTTCCACTGTAGAGGCTTACATTTTGGCACTGGCGATTTAACTAAAAATTAGAGATGGGAACAAGGTCCAAAATTTGGATCACGATTTGTAACTCCGTGAAGTATGGCATTGTTTGGGTTCTCATAGTAAAGTCATTGCAATTGCGTATGGTGGCTTTTTTAATAAAAAGCTTTGTTACAAAACCTAGAGAGTCCAATGGAAAAAAGTAGGGCTGGTTTGCTTGCTTGACATGTATTCTATTGGCATTGTTTTTTCACAGTAGTCTCTTTGAGCCACTAGCTACTCATGTTTGCTGTCTATCAGCATGATGATGCTTTTTCCATAGACTCTAATTTGCGGGCTGTCATGGAGCCACAAAAGTTACTCTTGGACATTTAATTAGGCTACTTATTGACCTTCAGCATGCAAGTTGTCCAAACAAAAGGGGTAACTGTAGAACTTTCCTCAGTGTAAAGCACGTGTGTGTTGCATAAACACCACAGTGTGTCTGCTTCTCTACATTACTTTTGTTGAGATAAGTGACAAGAATGCAACCTGGTTGAAGTGTTGTCTGTGCGGCATTAACTTTAGTCCTCCTATAATCTCTAGTAGCACATTTCAAAGGAGCATAGTTAATGTTCTATTGATGATATTGCTCTGTATGCTATGTTTGTCAATCTTGTGCCTAAATAGAAAAGCATGTGTAATAGGACTGTAGCACTTGGATTTTTTCAGTGACTCTTCAGATATTAAATATGCAACTTATTTTCTGTCTACCTTTCTTTCCTCCCAAAAGCGGATATTGGGATCAACACACTTCATTGTAAATTCTCTACATATCCACAGCTGTCCCTACTATCTGTGCCCCAGGTAACTTTCTTAACATGGTGTTGTGGTTTTGGTTTTTTTAAAATGTAACCTTTGAAAATGCTCTTTTAAACATATTTTTACTTTTCTCTGTTTAACCTTTTTTGAGAGCAACTTGAATAAACAAAAATTGGTTAAAGTAACACGTACGGAAATTTTCACACACTGGAAGTTATGCTACTAATAAATCCTATTTGGATCCTGCATTGTATGTAATGTTTTGAAATCTAATAGTTCTAATTACTGTGAACATACTTCAGAATTAGTGTTTTTAGTCTAAATGTCACCCCATTTTAGTTAACTTGAAGTGGAGCATCTCCATTAGGCAAACATCTGTATTTCCATGTCTATTAGCTGTTAATTGCTACAACTACCAGAGAGGTGACTTTTGCTATTACCTTAACAAGTTTCACCATACTTAAGATATTTTTAAAACTTGCCTCTATGGTGTGAGAGGGACCTCACTGGGGCAGGAAATCTGGGGTATAATTGACAGCCTATGCCCATATGACTCTATGCCTTTCAGAGTGCTTAGGGGGCTAGGGATGCTGAGTTTCATTCAGCAGGGGAGTGGTAGGGTGGGAGGGGGGCAGGGGAAAACCACTGCTTCTGTTGGGCCTGTGGGAATTTCTCTAGAGCAACCCAAGGTTCCCGCTTCCTCCCAGATGCCAAGTACATCACCTCTCTGCACTGCTGGACAGAGCACAGACTTGGGAATTGAACATTTATTTTAATTACTAGCCCTGCAGATACTTTAGGATTTTTTTAAAGCAAGATCATTGCAACAAAAGCTAATATTAAGCATAGCTAGGGAGCACGTCAACTGGATCATCTTAATTCTACATGTAGTTCATATAACTTTTTTTTCTCTAGAACAGCAGCAATGGCAGCCTCTAGCAGCAACACCAGTGAGGAGGAGCGTAGCCTCAGAGAATGTGAACTCTATGTCCAAAAACACAACATCCAGCAGCTTCTGAAGGACTGCATTGTACAGCTATGTACAGTTCGACCCGAGAGACCCATGGGATTCCTCAGGGAATATTTTGAAAGATTGGAGAAGGTAAAAATAAGTCTGCGGAGCAGGGGGGAGAATGCAACAGCCTGAATTTATTTAGTCTCTTAGTTACTTAAAATAAAGACTGAGATTCAGATTTGACCAATATTTTTTATTAGTTGTTTATGTTTGAAACTGAAGCAAAGTATTTGTTTGGAAAAGAAAGTGTTTTTTCTATAGCTAAATGCCAGTTGCTCACTAGTGAATGCTCACTAGCATCCCTATGGCAACCAAAAGTATGCGCACATGATGGGGAGAGAGAGAGGCTAGTAAGGAAACAGATTCAAGTTAGCTACTGAAAGTAAAATCTGTCAGTTTGGTACTGGGGTCAATAGGTGGGACATATGGCCTGACTTATGATGACCTAAATGATTAAATTTATTTTTATGTACAGCCCTGAAGTATTTTAGTAACAGCCATTCAACTTTTATATTGAGGCCAATTTTCTATAGTGAGTCGTAGGTATAATATTGATTTTGGGGGGGGGGGGGGGAATAGTAATCCTAGCTAGTTCATTGAGAACTACCATTTGGTGACTTTCCTCTTGTACTTCAACTGAGACTTGTACTTACATTTCAAATAGGTAAACTTGTCTTTGCTCTGTTATGAACTTAGTGTTTCTGTTTAATGGCTGGTACATTCTGTCCCAGAGGTGAGCTAAATGATTCTTGCACACACCTTGTGTAAAGTACTCTCGGATCCTTATGATCTTCACATTCCAGTGCCCACTTTTGCAATTAAGACTAGCCCTATTGAGTGATTCATTATTTAATATACCTATTTCTTATATCGGAGCATCTTTACAATAGCATTTTCATGTAAAGTGTGATTCAGGGCAAAACTTGGTGTAACTGATCTTTTCTACCAGCATATTCATATCTAGTACTTTTCTGTTGCCTGTTACTATCTGTGATATTCTGCATCTGCAAACCAATAGTCTTTGGTTAATACTGTGGTGGCTATTGCT